AGCTTTTTCCTCTGGTGACGGTTCTGGTCTTGGACCAATCAGAGGCCAGCGCAGGTGTGCGTATGGACCCGTTAGCTGCTATTGCTAACAGCCACTCAGCTTTACCTAACTGTGCGTTGCTGATTAAAGGTAGAGAGAAACGAGCGGCGCTGAGGTTGGTTCCTACCTCAGAATGAAACGTTTCTGGTTTAGTTATAACTGAACTTTAAACCAAACAATGACTTTTCATCATATTGTTATATTCTAACTTAATTTTACTGTTGAATTAAGTGACTCTCAGTCCAGTCATCCAACCCATTGCTCTGGTTTGGGGATATATTTGGGTTCATTATTTTGAAGTGAACTTGATGAATATTATCTGATCATTGATCTGGAATTATGATCCTAAATAAAACCGACAGTCTTCACTCTGCCTCATGCTGGGCTGGCGTTTTGCCTTGAAAAACAAAATTAAAACTACAAAAATTATCTAATTAAAGACGGAAAAACTATTTTTAAAATATTCCCAGAGCTGGACCTCACTTTAAGCCTTTCTGAGGGACGTCGAGGACGCGTCCGGACAGGGACATGTCTCCAACAGTATTTCCTAATTTTTTTTCCCTTCATGTTCCTCCAGCTATGCTTTTCAAAATAAAATGTAACTAATGAGTCCCATCAGTGATTGTTGGGTTGGACGCCGCGCTGAGTCAGGAAGCGGCTAACTGCTAGCACGTTTCACAGCCAGCAAAATGTTTCCACTAAAATATATAAAGGAAGTCGGCTAACATGAACCCGCGCTGCAACTTTGACAGATTATCAGTGGAGCAGGTGCTTAACTTAGCGAACCAATCACAGCGGGCGTCCAGGTGATCACTTGTTAATGATCAAAACATGAAAATTCAAAAACAGAAAACTAGCAGACTGAGTGTTCTGGGGTTTTAAGCACTTTGTCTGAAATGTTTTTTGTGTTTATGTTCCTGATGTAATCTGTGGGCTCATGCAGCTGTTGCCATGGCAACGGGTCTGCATGTAATGCTGGTTAAAACAGAGAAACCAAACTGTTTATAGATCTGCATGCAGAGAGAATACAGACTTTACACATTCAAACATCTCAGCTTTAACTTAAGTCACATTTAATAGAAACTGGATGATGAATATGGGGCCATTTTTGGCTCCTGCAGGTTCACGTCACTCGCTGCAGCGGCTAACCGGCCAATACAGCAACATGTGGCTCCTCTGCTCCACAACAGAGACATGAGCAGCAGAATCACAGCCGACACAGAAAAACATCCTTAGATGAATTAAAACCTGTCTTATTGTATAATTTTACAGTAAAGACATGTTTGCTACATTAAAGATGCATCATATCTGGTCTGCTGTGGAGGGTAGGGTTACAAAGCCCAGTCATTTGGCTCACACGGTTATTCTGCTTTTAATATCACTTTGATTTTTATGAATCTAATGTTTGAGCATTTCATAAGATCAGGAAATAAAAGGAAACTATATTATTGTGATAATTCTTCTCAGAAAATATTGCTGAATTTTGTAACTATTTTGAACTGTAAACAACCACTGAGCAGATATAAACCATAAAATAAAATATGACGGAAAAGTTCATTTTTATAATGTCTCACCAACTGAGACATTATATGGATTCATGAGGTGACTGATGTTTTCACATATTTATATCTCTCAGTATGTTTAATACCTGATAAAAAGTTATTTTCAAAAAGCCTAATCAGGACGTATACCCTAACTTACTGAATAAGACTGCATGGCATTCATATTTAAGTTTTGGCCTTAGAAAAAAGAAGCAGCTTCCAGCAGCTGTGGGTGCATAGCGCCCCCTGTCTTCCTCACCAACGTCCTGCACAGACTCTTGGCTTCAGTCCTGCTGGTCGGAAGATTGGCTGCATTTATGAAAGTTTATTTCTGTTCTGTAGACGAACCATATCTGAGTAGTTCATTAAAACTGATCCACAGCGTTCAGCAAAGAGGGACAAACAATCAGCAGATTATAATCTGATTACAGCAGAGCCTACTGGCTGATACGGAGGACAGTATAGGTCAGTGTTTCTCCACCCTGGTCCTCAGGCCTCCCTGTCCTGCGTGTTTTAGGTGTTTCCCTTCTGCCACACCTGGATTCTATCTCTGGGTGATTAACCCTCCCGTTATGTTCGTTTCTGAGGTACAGCAATAATGTTCGTGGGTCAATTTGACCCGCAACATAACAGGAGGGTTAACAGGATCTGCAGCACCTGATGTTCATGCAATCAGGTGAATCAGCTGGAATAGAGGCTCATCTAAAACATGCAGAGCAGGGGGGAGAGGGGGGGGCTGAGGACCAGGGTGGAGAAACACTGATGTAGATCAACACCAATTTGATGACTGATGCTTTAGATGGTCAGAGTGGGTCCTGAGGGCCGGCGTGCTGCATGTTTTATTCTCTCCCTGCTGGTAGAATCAACCTTTTCAGCAGGTCAATGTTCTTCTTAGGCCTCTAATGAGCATCATTGGATCCAGGTGCGCTAAACCAGGGAGAACTAAAACATGGAGGATGCAGGTGTTCCGTTTATCTGTGCTACCCGTAAATCTGTCCTACCTTGTGGCGATGCCACATCGATGCTACGTCACAATCTGCTGACTCAGCAGATTTCTTATCCTACCTGTAGACATTTCATTTCATCGCAGATTATGGTCAGCTTTATTAATTGATGATATACCTGGCTTTCATTAAGCTGCTGTAGTGGTTCATGTTTTTAGTTTACTTTATGGGCAGCTTGTAAATACATTTATGGCTGCAATGTCGTTAAACAAGTTATTGTTTGGAGGTTAATCAGGACAAAATACATTGTTTTGTGGCTATTTTTTCCCTATATTTTAAAATAGTTTAGTTTAATTACATTCTTATTTAACTTTGCTAAATACATGTTGGTAGCGATACTGACTGAAGCTGTAATAGCCGTGTAATATCAGTGTACATGAATCATATCCTATCATTTCAGGTGCACAGTGATCTGTGCAGTTTGGTGGACACATTGTGGCTGCATTTAATAAAGTCTGACATACAACGTATTAATGCGCAAAAGAGAGTTGCGGTGAGTTGTATTTGTCTTTAATTTAATTCCAATAAATACCTCTTTCCTCTGTCTGATATTGTTTTATTCTTACAAACACCAATGTATTTAAAATATTTTTAACAGGTAGGATATTCTCATAAAATAATTAGTGCCAACATCTATAGCTTTTCATTTTAAAAGAGTAGGATATTCAGATGAAGGAAGTGATCTTGTGGTTTCGACGTGTATATAAATTGTTCCAATGCTAAGCTAAGCATAACTCCTAAGCTTCCACTTCAGTCACTCAGATAATGTTATCCAATGCATTAAAATTAACGACCCGCTGTAGTTTTCTGTTTGCAAACATGACGGTAGCAGTTTTGAACGGGTAGCACTGACAGATAGACTTAGTTATCTATCCATGCTACCGTAGGAAAATCTGACGAGTGTTAAGAAAATAAATTTAAAGTATGCTAGTTTTAAAACTTAACATGTCTTGATTGAAATAGCCTAATTATAGTTTTAAAATCAGTAACATATTCTGGCCTATTGACCTTTATGTTACCTGTAGTTACAGCAGATGGTTTGCTAGGATCTTTTGAACTGCCCTTTATCTGTGTGGGAAAACAATCAGGAGAAGTTCCAGCTTTTCACACTCATCTGTGAAAAGCCGTAAACACAGCAGGAGTTCCTGGCTTTAGAGAGGGTCAGAGATAGCTCCTGGTTGGATGAGCAAAGATACGCCTTATTTGAATAAATTAAAGATGAGAATACGCCTTTTACTATAAAACTTTCTACACAGAAGTAACAGATCAGATTTGTTCTTGCAATTCTCCAAAGACGTCTTTGCTTTTTGTTTGTCGTTTCCATCTTTTGTCTTTTTCCCTTTCTCAGGTAAATTAATGTGTTTGTGCTCTGAGGTTTCTGATGTTATACGATGTGCTTTCCTGGTGATGGTATGCATCAGTCATGAATAAAAGCTGATTATTGTGACGCTGTCATCTCTGTGTGACTTTTATTTCCACGCATGGAATCATTGAATCCGGGAGCAGAGGAGAATATAACGAGCCAGAAGTTAATCATTTTATTCTCTTAACACGAGGTAGCACAGATAGTCAGAACACCGGCCCTCCAGGACCCACTTTGGGCATCCCTGGCTTGAATCTGGAACTAACTCAAAATACCCAACTAGACGTGTTCACGACTTTGTGGTGGCCAGTCACATTTACCAAAGAAAACGACAATACGTGAATTAAGAAGCTAATATTTTTTATTACAGGTTGCATTATATATCAAGTTGTTAGCGCAGGGCAAATTCAGGTTAGGTGGTCCGTGAGTGTTTGCCAAGTGATACTCAGCCTGAAGAAGTTAGATAAACATTGCCTCAGAGAGAGAATCACCTCTAGAAACGGATCATTTTCTACAGATGAACTGAAGCAATCAGGAACAAAGACGCCGCCGTGTTGCTAATGCTAATAGCGTCCATTAGCTACTAGCACCTTTAGCTCCGCTGCTGGTCAGTGATTCTCTTGTGTGCACCGTCGGGTAAACATATCACGTAGACATATTGTGAATTTCGCGGGTGTTTGGTCAATATTGATAAATAAATACGTCACCGTGATGCTAATGCTAATGGCCTACCTTTTTCCTCGCGCCGGTCGGCCGCCATGTCGCGCTCAGTGACGTTCTCCTGTCTCAAGAGCTGAAAACTGAGATAGACTGACTGGTTTTACTGGAAATAACACAAAACCCCCCAAAACCACCAAGAAGACCAGTTAGACCATCTGGAGGAGCCAAATGGCCAACTGCGTCTGCGGCTGGCGCTGCTGCTTCTTGTTGTGGAGATAATGGCATAAACAATGACGTGGCGCATTACCGCCACCTACAGGTGAGGAGGATCAGGACAAGCAAGGCTTACAAACAAAACTTTATTCTTTATCAGCCCAGTTACAAATTAAACATGTCTTTACATATCAAATAAGCATTCTTTCATATTCAGTATCTATGTTATCTATGCTCATTGTTTAGCACCCAGCGGTTAGCTTTCGTTCTCACAGCTTTTCTGATCTGCTCCCTTTAATTAATATGTTACATCTCCACCAGTTGTGCTAACAGATGAGTGAAGTGTCCTGATATACAATGTGATGTAACCCTACCCCAATGGAAATAAGAAATAATACAAAAAAGAGAACATAGTGACTGAGAAAAATTCAACATCAAGAATGACAAAACATGGATGGTTTAATTACAGAGTTTCTGTGTGAGCACCCTCATTCCAAAAAGACACGTCTGTCTTTGGGGTCTGCACAGTTGGTAGCACTGTTGCCTTGCAGCAAGAAGGTCCTGGGTTCAATTCCTGGCCCGGGGTCTTTCTGCATGGTGGGTTCTCTCTGGGGACTCTGACTTCCTGCCACAATACAAACTCATGACTGCCGGGTTAATTGCTGTGTATAAACTCTCCTTAGGTGTGTGTGATTGTCTGTTTCTGTGTTGCCCTGTGATGGACTGGTGACCTGTCTAGGTGACCCAGCCTCTTGCCCGCTGACCTCTGGACGGCCACCTGCAGCCCTCCTGACCCCAATGAAAAAGGGTGTAAGAAAACGGATTGATGGACAAACGTCTGTCTTTGATGATTCATGCAAAAGGGTTCTGCATTGTTTGCCTTATTGAACTTTAATGACATGAAAACAATTAATGAGTACAGAAGGAAAGACTGACAGTGAGCGCCACAGAATACATAAAATCAGATAAAAAACACTTCAGTCTTTCAACTTTCTTCAGCGCAGCTGATCTGTGATCGATTAGTCTGGTCTGAAACTGTTGTGCAAAATTTTAAGATTGCTACATGATTATGAGTGAACAGTTTAGTTATTCTTATGTAATACACGCGCTCATGAGAAAGTCTTCTGAAGCTACTACTCAGGCCTCGGTGGTACAATAAAGTTATTAAATTGTTTCTTCCATGACGTGTTTCGCTCCCCAGTGAAAGAAGATTCCTGAGGTTGGATTCTGCTCTGTAACCAAACTCTGTGAATGAATGAAGCTCTCATAGCTCTGTACGCTGTGTTCGGGTCCTGACTGCATTCAGTCAGCAGACTTCAACGATGCGTTAGCCTTCGAATAAATACTGATTAAGAATATATTCTTTCTCTGGTTCTTTGGGTTTTTGAAACAGTTTTTCGTCACTCCTGGTCAAGGAAAAAATTCCACAACACTGTCTTTTTCCCATTGGGTGACTGGAGTTTAAACTGAGTGGGTGGGCAGGGCTCAGACATGCAGCATTAAATAAGACTATATTTAATAGACAAACATCCAGCAGGTAGCTAAGAGTTTGGGCGTGGAGACAGAAGAACATGTAATAATTAATTGTGAAAAGTATAGGGTAATCAGAGAAAAATTCAAACAAGAAATTAGGAAGTATCATGTGGAGAGATTAAGAGTGAATAAGAAAGTAGTGACAACACGCCTGGAGGAGACAAAGGCGTGGATGAGGGTCTCAGCATCAGAACGGGAGAGAGATGAACGAATTTTGGAAATATTGCGAAGATGAAAAAAAAAACAGGTTTTAAACAGACGCCAAGGTTTGTAACAAAGGAGGAAATGGGAATGTCTTGTCCAGAGAATGAAATACTCGTCAGAGCCGAGGATGAACCTGATGAGGCGTTCCGATCAGTATGGCCTCGGTTTTGGAACAGTTTAGCTGAAGAAAGTTATGGCTCATCCAAGACTTAATCTCCTCCAGGCAGGACGTTAGCACAATAAGCGGAGGTGAAGTGGAAGGTGATCCCGTTCTAATGTAAAGTTGCAAATTGTCCACATAACAGTGAAATGAAATGTTATGCCGAGTAATGATTTTACCTAAAGGCAGCAAGTAAAGAGAGAAAAGCATAGGCCCTAGAACTGACCCCTGCGGGACACCACAGGACACGCTAACGGCCTGGGACTTGGAGTTGCCAAGGCAGACACATTCCAGCCTGTTGGAAAGAAAAGATTGAAACCAATCCAGGACAGATTCACCGAGACCGACTTCCACATGCAGACGATGTAGGAGAATGTTTTGGTCCACAGTGTCAAATGCAGCAGTGAGATGAAGGAGGACAAGCATGGAGGCTGTGGTGGACCGAGCAGTTAAGGAACAGCCAGGCACCGGTTTAAAGTCAAAATAATTGTTTTTATTTAACCCAAAACAA